GCAGCTTTTCCAAGACTTTAATTCTTTTATTACCTGGATAAGACATACAGATTATTCTTTTTTCCCAGAGAGACAGAGACAGAGACAATCAACATGAAGACAGTGAAGAAAAGAGTTCAGTTTTAGATGGGGAAGAAAGAATAAGGAGATGCTTTATAAGCTGAAATATTTTTCTGTTAAAGCTATGGAGATGGACAATAGTGTTTTGAAAAAACTCCTTAAATTCCTGACAGAGTATCTTGGGAGGAATGGAGTGTTCAAAGTGTGGATTTTGAGCAAAAGAGAGAGTAATTGTGATACAGTGAGGTGAGATTTGAGGCCTTGAGGGCAATGAGAAAACTGTTTTCCAGAGAAGCTCACAGAGACAGATGAAGAGAACTTTTGCCTTTGAATAAGTCATCCTTAAAAAAATAACATCCCTAGACTCATTGACCCATACACACCTCAGAGTGCAGTGAAACGGGAGGAGTGAACTGATGGCAGGATTTCCGGGCAGCTGGCATCAGAGAAATGGAAAACTATAACAAAAAATAGTTTTCTCGTGAGAAACTCCATAGATTAGCAGAAGAAGACTTCTGTTTCTCTACAAAGACTGATGAAAAGACTCTAGCAGGAATTGTGACTGTTTTAAACACCAAAGTTCCAAAGTTTTTTGTCTCGATGTTGTCATGTGAACAAGAGAATGGCCGGGAAAATGAAATTCACAAATCTAAACCACTACACTTGGCAACAGAAAAATCTCCCCTCGCTTGAACACTTTCTCCCCACATTATCCCAAAAATTTCCAGATTTAACAGAATCAGCATCCATCTTCAAATGTTTAAAAACCCAATGAATAAACCTCTTTAACTCCCCTTTAGAAAACTTAAAATCTCCCGCTTTTAGGGTGCCCACAACTTGGACGTAAAAGTCCCTCTCAGGAGGGGTCAGTCTTGATCTCCTTCTTCACTCCCCACCCAGCAGTAAAATAGCAATGAAAAGAAAAGCCCAAAACCCCTTCACAGGATCGACTTACAATTTCTCTTTGGCAGATGCCAACAGGCGAAAAGAAAGCTGGTGGGTGGGTGGTCACCTGGTGGCCGGTCCTCAAGGGCTCCTCCTCCTTGCCCCAGATGGTGGGCGAGGGTCCCGGTCGCAGCCTCTCGGATCGCCTCTTGCTAAAACGCAAGAAGGTCTCCTGGAGGGGTGGCAGCTCCAACAGCGACACGCTCCACAGGTAAAACTGCAGGCAGATGCTTCCAAAGGGGCTTTTTGAATGCCCAGTGGTGAGCACCAGTTGCTGCGGCAGGGGTGGAGGTGGCAGGGGTTCTGCGACGACTGGGAAGAAGCGGTCCGCGGTTGGACTGCCCGGGGACACAGGCACATCCTCTGCCTGGTGACTGATTTCAGCTCAGCTCAGCTCAGCATCAGCGCGCAGGCAATGCGGAGAAAGAGACTAGAGTGTTGTGTGGCGTTCCAGAGAGAACTAGCCTTTCTTAAAGCAGGGCCCTCGGCAAAGGGAGCCAGTGACAGCAGCTCTCCCGAACAGGGGAAAAACTGGGGTATTTCTAGGGGAGGAGAGGGGTGGGGGGAAACTGGGATACATGTATCGGGGTAGGATGGCAGGGGAGAGCAGCAATGGAGTGTAACAGTTTAACATAACTAACTCCAAGATTTCTGGGAGTGACACTTTTCTCTCTCTGAGATCAAGTGCCTTGCCTCCAAGGGAGAGCCAGGATCTCTGGATCAGCTGGTTGCCCGGCCCCCACAATAATGCACAATTATTCAATCTGCTAAAGACTCTATGCCATGGCATCCAAGCCAGAACCTACCATTATTACATTTTACACATCAGGAGTCATGCAAATCTACCAGGTTCTATCACAGAAGGCAAGGTCAGAGCAGATATTCTAGTGAGCCCTGCCTGGACAGCACCACAGCCAGACACACTAGCACAAGCAAAAGCATCGCACGATTTCTTCCATCAGGGTGTTTGAGCCCTACAAGGGCAATTCCTACTGACAAACACAGAGGCTCATAATATTGTTAGCACCCGTGCTGACTGCCAGGGCCACACTGCACCACTGCAGCTGCGGGTAAACCCTCGTGGACTGCATGCCTGACAAATCTGCCCAACCCATTGGACTGCATGCCTGACAAATCTGCCCAACCCATGTCACACACATCCCTGAATTTGGACGCTCACAATATGTACACTTAGCCACTGATACCTTCTCATCAGCAATATGGGCTACAGTGCACACAGGAGAAAAGGGTCGGGATGCCATTGCACACTGGCGGTCAGCCTTTGCTGTTTTGGGCATCCCTCACACCATCAAAACAGACAATGGCCCTGCATACACTTGACAGCAAACAAGACATTTCCTACAGCTCTGGGCTGTAGCACACCACACAGGAATTCCTCAAATAGCAATGGGACAAGCCATTGTGGAAAGAGCACATGGCAGTGCACTTAAAACATATTACTGAAAAAGAAAAGGCAGGAATGTCTGGTGAGGGTGAGACACCACAGAGCAAGATAGCTGAGGCTATTTACACACTAAATCACCTAACAGGATCGGAAAAGTCCCAGAGCACAGTCATTTTAAATCCCTTTCTATCATTACAATTACATCTGGAGATGAACAGTTGCCTAAAGCCAAGGTAATGGTGAAAGATCTTCTCACTAAGAAGTGGGGAGGACTAAGAAGTGGGGAGGCCCATGGAGTTTCATGACCTGGGGAAGGGGATATGCCTGTGTTTCCACAGACACTGGAACAGAATGGGTTGCTGCCGGATGTGTCTGTCCTGCTCTGTGTCCTGCCCGGGAGCACAAACAACACCCTCCTGACAGAACCTCAATGGATGTAATGGAGAAGATTGAAGAGGAGTGACCAGAACAACTTGCTCATCTACCTCATGGATATCAGAGACTCTTGAAAAGGACAGTTCATTTAAAAACCCTTTGTTTACAAAATGGTTTTCTGCTGAGTTGTTCTCACGATTCTAAATGTTGAATGTTTTGGTTTCTTGTTTCTAGAGTTCAAGAACAATGTCAGTTCTAAGCAGTTCCTTGTTTTTAATGTTAAACTTCAAATGAAACCTATGCTGTAGCTGTTACCATGTCTGCAAAGGGCCCTTGCAGCTAAGACAACAGAGAGCAATTTCTATTTTTTGAATGTAACTGAAAAGGGTGAATTGTTGAAGTAGTGTCACAGTGCAGCTGGTCTGGACTGGACAAAGGAAATCTAGACATAAGACAAATCTAGTCTGGCTAGCCTAATTTATGTGTGAACAACTGCACACCACTGGCCAGGAGGCTGGGCAGGGAAAGAAGTATCAGCCAATGGCTGTCTGGCCTGGGAAATTTGAACTGAGTATTTAAGTGAGTTGTAAATAATAAATGAGGCTGTTTGTCTCATGAGCACCTGGAGCATGCGTCGTGCATTCTTTGTCTCCCCATCCACGACCATCAGTTCCACACACACCCACTCCTTCCCAAAGCTCCTTCCAGACAGCATCTGCTACAGACACATCCCCCGCTGCCATCCCTTGGCCAGGGGCCTTGTGGCTCATGCCAGACACTTCTTTGTCCCGAGGAAGCCTCCTCCCAGGAAGGGGGGAGCCCCTCACAGCCCAGGATTCTCCAGCTCAGCCCCCCTAGAGCCAGGCCTCCTTCTGAGCCCCACATGCCCTGAGCCAAGTGGGGATTGGTGGCCATCTTGGCCACAGCAAGCACAAATAAATTGAGGTTCAAACATAGGACAAGAGAAAAAGGGCCAGCAAAACCTCAGCTCTGGGCATGAGGAGAGCAGACTTCAGGCTGCTCAGGGAACTGGTACGCAAGGTCCCCAGGAAAAATGTCATTGAGGGTGCTGGGCTCCATCATTGCTGGTCACTTTGGAAACATCACCTCCTAAGAGCACAGGAGCAGGCGATTCCCAAATGTTGGAAGCCAAGCAGGCCAAAAGGCTGGCTGCCTGAACAGGCAGCTTGTGTGGGAAAGAGGATGGAAAAGGAAGTTGTGTGCCCAGTGGAAGTGAGGTCAAGAGAAGAATACACAAATGTTTCTTGCCACTGGAGGGAGGAATTTGCTATAGTGAAAGCTCAGCTGGAGAGGAAGGTGGCCAGAAATGTGGGACACAATAAAAAGTGTTTTAAAATACATTAATGGAAAAAAAAAAAAACATTGTAGAAATGACATTGTCCCCCATTGTCCCCTTCTAGGGTGTGGATGGTCACCTCACAGACAGGGACAGAGACATGGTACAGGTCTTTAGTGCATTCTTTGCCTTTGTCTTCAACACTCATCCCTCCCTTCCCAGTGGAAAACATTGCATTGTACCAAGGGACACTGCAAAGTCCTTGAAGAGGGCAAGTCCTGCTCAGTGGAAAGCAAACCAACCCTGTTTGATCCACAGCACTCCCATCCAAACCCAACATGTGACAGCTATTGGGAAGAAAGACACCTTATCCCAGTCAAAGCCAGAGCAGTGGAAGCACCATGAGCACTCCTTGGCAAATCCTGATTTATTTAGAACAGAGGCACTTCAGAAGTCAGTGAGCTGCTAACAAAAAACTCTTCCTGCCCTCAACAGCCAGTTCAGGAGACCCCCCCAGAGACAGAGGAACTCCCTTTGTCTCTGGAGGATTTTTTTCAGGCACAGAGTCGTGTTTGTTTCCAGCTGGTAGTGCTGCAGCATCTTGGGAGCTGTGGGGTTGACACTGCTGGCACCAGCACCCTTCCTGATGTGCCACCATTTGGTCCAGGGAATGATTCATTGCAACAGACTGAGCTCCCGTTCTTACTTCCAGGCTTTTTCGGGCCACGTCCATCTTCAGAGATGAGCCACTTCTGCTGATCCCTGAGGCGGGCTGGGCTGTGACTGCACAAAGGGGCTGAGAGCTGGCATGAGGCAGGGCAGTGATGTGCCACAGTTGTCCTGGCCACAGCACTGTGACATCATTGCCTTGGCGCTATACAACACGGGCCAGCACCCACAGCTGCCAGTGCAGTCGCGATGGGACGTGCCGGAGTCATGGATGACGGTGTTGTCCTGATGACTGCGCTTCTCCTGCTGCTGGCCGCTGTGGCTGTCTGGTGGGCTGTTGGCCACTGGCAACCATGGAGGCAGCAGACAAGGAAGGCAAAGGAGAGCAAGCGTCGCTGGGTCTGGCCTAGAGGCTCACGGAGGAAGCAAGGAGCCCCTGTGGCTCCGAGATACTCCAGGCCCCTGGCGGCCCCTGGCAAGTGGCCACGTGCTCCCGCGAGCCCTCTGGGCATCTCCTGCAGCTGGGGCTCCTGCATGGCAGTGGCCCAGGAGCTGCAGGATGTGATGCTGCTGCTCTGGGATCGCAACGGGACATGTGTGCCACTCTACTCTGGGATGTGGCAGGCCCTCTGGAGAGAACTGGAGGAGCCTGTTGTGGCTCGTCTGGTTCCTCCAGAAGCCTGCATCACCCCAAAAGGCTGCTCCCAGGAAGATTCTCCACCCCTGGGAAAGCCTCAAGCCCTGCAAGGATGGCACACCAGCAGAGACCTACCATCCTTGCAGGAACCTCAGGCTGTCAGAGACCCTCCATTCTGCCAGGAGCCTCTGCTATCTCTGACAGCCTCCATCCCTCGCAGAGGCTCAGGGAGACCTGTCCGCCTGCACAAGGTGCAGAGCCCATCGACAGTTCTTCCAGCTCCCTTGGACTCACAGACTTCAACAAGAAGGGTACAACCCTGACCATTGACGTGGCCAGGGAAAGCCCAGAAGTCCAAGTGGGAGCCCAGCCCAAGCCAGGGGAGCCTTCTCAGGAGCAGCTGGCGGAGCAGCAAGCATCCTGGAAGCAGCAGTTGTCATCTCACAGCTGCCAGAATGCTGTGCAAGTTGTGCCAGCTGGCAACAGCGCAAACCTGGTGGTGGAGACGACCCTCAAAACACCAAGGAGGTTCCTCCATCTCCAGGAAGCTGCCCCAAGACGGCCCTTGACTACCGCCAAGGCCTTTCTAAGAGCAGGTGAGATCTCCTGAGGAGCTGTCTGAGGCTGGCCCAGTGCTCTTGAGGAACACCCCAGGCCAGGCCATGGCCCCTGAGAGCAGCCCAGTCCCTGGCTGTTTCCAGTGCCTCTGACGGCACGGCTTCAAAAACCCGTCTGCTTTGCAGCTGCTCCTGACACCCCCCTGTGCAAAGCCTTGGGCTGTAGCCCCGGCTGTTCTCAACACCAGAGTCCAGCCCACAGCGCCGGGGACAGTGACGGTGCCATCCAGCCACACTGCACTCCGGCTCCTGCAGCCTCTGCGTGCTCTGCTGTGCCAGCTCTGCTGCTCAACAGCCCGACGGCTGCAGGGCGGTGGCCACTGCTCGGCAGGCAGCAGGAAGCAGGTCAGAGCAACATGACCCACAGCGGC